AAATTGTGGAGAAATCACTTGGAACAAAAAATTGAGCAATAGTGAGGATCCTTATAACCTCAGACAGAAAGAAGAATTAGCTTTAGCATAACCTAATTAGTAAAGAGTGCAGTAGAGACTTGAGAAGGCAGGTGGGGCACCCATAGGTGGCAGCACCAGAAGACTATTGCAAAGGCCAGTTGCATTCCCCCTGAGATGAGTGGGGTCTAAAGCATAAGCAAGGATCTCCAGCCTACAGCACCAGAGCCCAAAAAGTACACAGATATGAGCCAGCTGCAAAAAGCAACAGGGTTGCTCTCTGCCAGAGACAGGCGGCTGGAGATGCAAAGAGCCTTTTAAAGGGCCAACGCATAAATTTTTATTTGCAGCCACTTACCCTGGGCTCCAGGAAAGGCGGGGGCGGAGTGGGCTAGAGATGTCTGAGGAGAGAAACGGGAAGGAGGCTTTGGGGAGAAAACTGAGAGAGTAGCCGGCAGGATCACGGTGCTGACTCATCCCCCATATGGTAGCAGCCATCTTGCTCAGGCAGACCACTCCCTTGAGCAGCAACAGTGTGAGAGGACCCAATAACCCCGCCCCTAGGAGGAACTCTGCCCCACCTGTGGTGTCTAAGCCAGCCTGCTGAGTGCAGAGTGACTAGATTAACAGCTGAAGGAGACAGCCACAGACAGTAGATTCCTGGAAGTCTCTAACAGAGTGCCTGAGGTCAGACAGGTCAACATCTGACATCATCAGAGGCAGATCCAGAAAGAAAAAAAACAGCAGTCTCCTACCATAGAAGTTCACATCACAAAGTCAGAAAATCAAGCCCGACCAATTTAAGAAGCAGAAGCAAAAAAGAAGAGTCTTACAAATAATGGGAAGACAAAGAAACACCCCTCAGTCAAAGGGAAAAGAGGAATCCCCAGAAATAGAACTAAATGAAATACAGGCAAGTAAACTATCAGATACTGAGTTCAAAACAATGGTTCTAAGGAAGCTCAATGAGCTCAGTGAGCTCCAAGAGAATTACAAAAAACTACAGGGAAACTATCATCATGAAAAAGGACATAGAAACTATCAATAAGAGACAAGAGGAAATGAAGAATACGATTTCTGAATTGAAGAACACAGTAGAAGAAATCAAAAGCAGGCTAGGTGAAGCAGAGGATTGAATCAGTGAGTTGGAGGATAAGGTAGAAAAAAGCTCCCAGAAAGAGCAAGAAAATGAAGAAAAAAAAAGACACAAAAAGAATGAAGAGGCGTTTAGGGAAAGGCAGGACAACCTGAAATATAATAATATCTGTATAATAGGGGTAGCATAAGAAGAAGAGGAGGAGCAAAGGATAGAGAACTTGTTTGAAAAAGGAATGATGGAAAACTTCCTTAATTTGAGGAAAGAAAATATCACTCAAGTCCAGGAAGCACAGAGGGTCCCATTCAAGAGGAACCCCATGAGGCCCACTCCAAGACACATCATAATTAGAATGGCAAATATCAAAGACAAACAGAGAATCCTAAAGGCAGCAAGGGAGAAAGAGGTAGTAAAATATAAGGGATCCCCGGTACAGCTAGCAGCTGATTTCTTAACAGAAATACTACAAGCCAGAAGGGAATGGCAAGAAATATTCCAAGTCATGAAAAGCAAAGGCCTGCAACCAAGACTGCTCTACCCAGCAAGGCTCTCAATTAAAATGGAAGATGAAATAAGGAAATAAGGAAATAAGGAATTAAAATGGAAGATGAAATAAGGAATTTACCCAGACAAAAGAAGGCTAAAAGAATATACCTCGACCAAACCAGCATTGCAAGATATGCTAAAGGGACTGCTTTACAAAGATGAAGAAAAAGTCTATGAATAACCCAGGTCCTTTCACAGTCACCAATACTTGATATTACCAATATTTTTAATTCTATATTAATCTGATTCAATCGTGTTATTTTGTTACTTTATTATTTGTTGAAACTAAACCTGTTTTTGTATATTTCTTGGTATTTCTATTATTTTTAAAAAGCTTTAAATGACTTTTTGGCATTCTTTACCCATTTTTTGATTAAATGTTTGTAGAATTTTTTCCCTAAAAAAACCCCCTATTAACCCTTTTGTAGATGTGTTGCAAAATACTTTCCTATTCTATTATTTGTCCTTTAACTTTTTTATATGTATATTACTATATAGTACTAAATGTTTAATATAGTCATATTCTCAATATTTGACTTTATAGCTTCTGAATATGTTTTGTATTTTCTCCTAAAACTCCTTAGATTTTACATGTTGATTTTTAACTTGCCTGAATATTTTTTGTATAATGTGCGAAATAGGGCTCTATATTTGTTTTATTTCAAGTAATAGTAGTCCATGCACCTTATTTTCCCCATTGATTTGAAATATCTATTTAATCATATGTTACATTGTTGGACAGATATATATGTTTGTTTCTAGAATGCTCATTTTATTTCATTGATCTACTTGATTATTTCTGTGCTGGTGTCATGTTTTAATTGCTGAGACTTTATGATGGATTTAATATTTTTAATATTTTATAATGGATTTTGACATTTAAAAATAAGTAAATAAAATCAACCTGCATTTAAAATTAAAGAAAGAACTCCTACCTTTTGTGGCAACATGGATGGAACTGGAGAATATTATGCTAAGTGAAATAAGCTGGTTGGTGAAAGACAAACACCATATGATCTCACCTATAAGTGGAATCTATTCAACAAAATAAACTAATGAACAAAATAAACCACAGGCATGGAAACATGGAGCAGACTGAAAGTGACCAGAGGAGACAGGGAAGGAGAACAATGGTGGAAAGAAGGAACTAAATAAAGAACATGTATGAATGACCCATGGACATGGGCAACAGAGTGGGAATTGACTGTGGGAAAGGGTGACAGGGTGGGATGGGTGGAGGAGGGATAAGGGGGAAATATTGAGACAACTGTAATAGAATAAGCATGATTTAAAAATTAAAAATAAAAATAAAAAAGAGTGAGGATGATCTTCCCAGAAGCCTCACAGATTAGCTGGGAGGAGACCCTGCTACCCCTGGAGCATTTGGTCATTAGGAAGAAGGGGAACGAAATTAAGACTCTATTAGAGAGAATGAAGGGCGGCAGTGTTGTTTACATTTTTGTTTAATTCCTTCTCCTTCCACTTGCTCTTAATAAATATAATACAGGAAAAATCATGGGATGTCAATTCCATAATTAAGTTATAAGAGATTTTAACTTTCGTCTGCCTGGCATTTTCTATCTGGCTCTTCTTTTGTGTTTACTTTGATGAAGCAAAGTGGAAAGGCCCATGTGTTCAGGAACTGAGGGCAGCCTTTCATCAACTTCTAGGATGGAACTAGTGCCTCAGTCCAAACAAGTGTTCATGAAACTAATATTCAACGTGCTGGATATTGTTCTTTTGCCCTTACAAATCCATTCTCCACCCTGTTCAGTGCTCCCAGGGGATTATCAGGATGGTCTTCATCATGGGCTTCCTTGCCCTTTGGGTTCCATCAAGAGGTGCACTGGCTGGATATGAGAAGTAGAACAGAGAGTGAGCTCTGGGTATTTATTCTTCCAGCAATCTCTCTGTGAATGTGCCCTTATTTGGAAATAGGGTATTTTAGGTGTAATCAAGTTAACATGCGGTCATACTAGATTAGGGGGAACCCCTATCCAATGACTAGCATCCTTATAAGAGGAGGTAAATTTGGACACAGACATTCCAGGAGAAAGCCTTGTGATAATGGAATAATGGAATAATAGGTCTACAAGCCAAGGATTTCCAGCAATTACCACATGGAAAGAAGCATGGAACAGATCCTCCTCAGAGCCTCAATAAGGAATCAACGCTGTCAATACCTTGATTTTGGACTTCTAGTCTCAAAAACTGTGAAAGAATAAATTTGTTTTAAACTAAAAAAAAAATGGCCTACTTTAAAATTATGGAATCATTGAGAATATGGTTCAAGGTATCCTGTCCCAGAATGGACATTGGGTATATTGTAAGTTTAGCATTGGCTTAGAAAACTCAATTATACATCATTTTCATGAAGCTTCTTTCTTTCATGAATTCTTTGATATTTTGATGAAGTCACTCTACATTAAGTGTATTCCTAACAGTTTTATTTGTGTGTGAATTCATAAGAAATGAATTCTGCCATATTCTTTGCCATCCAAAAATTACTCCCCAGCATGAATATCAGGCAACTATTGAGGTTTATTTCTAGTTTTTCCCATGATCATCTTATTGCCACTATGTATGAGCTCACTGATGATCCACTATGACCACTAATGAGATAGTCTTTATTACCTTATAAGGCTTTCCTAGTCTCTTCATTCTTAACATTTATATTAGCATATACTTTTCAGAAATATAATTACCTAGAAATGTTTCCTCAAGGCTTTTCTGCATTGAATGTATTAGAGTTATTTTCCTACATGTTAATTTTGACTTAGAGTCTGAGGTAATTGATTGCTGAAGGCACTAGCACATTCTCTGCATTCATTAAATTTCACTCCTATGCAAATCCCATAATTTCCTATGGGTGAAAATCTAGCAACAGGCTAATCTACACTGACTATATTCAAGTATACTAGGAGCATACTACACTGAACTATCACAGTTTGCCCCTTACATGAGTTCACTTGCATGTAGTAAATTCAGGCTCTGCAAAGGATTATGTACCTTGACCTACACATTTGCTACATGTGTTAACCAGGGTTGACCAGTAAGAGAAAGGTTACCCCAATCATTGAATCCATAGGGTCTCTTTCTTTTATTTTTATAAGTTCTTTGATGTACAGTGGGTACCAAATTCATGTTAAAGGCTTTCTCACACTAACTGCATACATACGATTTGTCTCCTGTGTAACTTCCCTGGTGGGTCATGAGATCAATATTGTATGAATAGGGTTTTCCACAGTCAGTACATATAAAGTAAGTCTATCCTGTGTGAAGTCTCTGATGTTGTACATAGCATATTTTCTTCTTGAAGGTGTGACCATATTCTTTGCATTGTTAGGGTTTGTTCCCAGTATGAGTTCTATGATGTACAAGGAGATTTCTCTTAGAAGAGAAGCCTTTCCCACATTCACTGCACACAAAAGGTTTCTCTCCTGTGTGAGTTCGTTGATGGACGATTAGACGACTTTTCACAGCAAATCCTTTCCCACATTCATTGCATGCGTAAGGTTTCTCTCCAGTATGGATTTGCTGATGTAAAATGAGCTCAGTTTCCATGATAAAGCCTTTCCCACATTCACTGCATATATAGGATTTCTCTCCTCTATGAATTTGCTGATGTACAATGAGATAGCGTTTCATGGTGAAGCCTTTTCCACATTCACTGCATGAAAAGGGTTTCTCTCCAGTATGAGTCCGCTGATGTACCACAAGATTGCTCTTAAAGGCAAAACCTTTTCCACATTTATTGCATATATAGGGTTTCTCTCCAGTATGAGTTCGCTGGTGTAACATCAGCCCACTGTTCACGATGAAGCCTTTCCCACATTCACTGCATCTGTACGGTTTCTCTCCAGTATGTGTTCGCTGATGTACAACTAGCCGACTCTTCAAGGGGAAGCCTTTCCCACACTCACTGCAGATGTAGGGTTTCTCTCCAGTATGCGTTCGCTGATGTATGATAAGCATGCTCTTCACAGTGAAGCCTTTCCCACATTCACCACATACATAGGATTTCTGTACTGTATGATTTCTCTGATGCACAATGAGGTTACTCTTCCTGGGAAAGCCTTTTCCACATTCACTGCACACATAGGGTTTCTCTCCAGTGTGCATTCGCTGATGTTCAATCAGACGGCTCTTCATGGTAAAGCCTTTTCCACACTCATTGCATACATATGGTTTCTCTCCTGTATGATTTCGTTGATGTATGAGGACATAGTGCTTCGTGGTGAAGGCTTTCCCACACTCACTGCAAGTGTAGGGTTTCTCCCCTGTATGAGTTCGCTGATGTATGATGAGCATGCTCCTCCCAGTGAAGCCTTTCCCACATTCACTACAGACAAAGCATTTCTCTCCAGTATGATTTCGTTGATGTACAATGAGATTACGCTTCCCTGGGAAGCCTTTTCCACATTCACTGCACACGTAGGGTTTTTCTCCAGTGTGAATTCGCTGGTGTTCAGTCAGACGGCTCTTCATAGTGAAGACTTTGCCACAGTCACTGCATATAAAGGATTTCTCTATTTCGTGAATTCTCTGATGTTCATTGAGCCTGGACTTTCTGGAGAATACTTTTGCACACAGACTGCATCCATAAGGTTTCTCTCCTGTGTGAACTCTCTCATGATCAGTGAGCTGAGACTTCTTAATGAAGGCTTTCCCACATTCACTGCACATGTGGGCTTTCTCCACTTCATGAGATCTCTGATGCTTAATGACCTGGGACTTACTGCTGGTGCGTTTTGCACTGACAGGGAATTTAACTCTAAGATGAAAATCTTCATGATTGCCATGCTGAAATAATTTTCCATCTCCATTCAATTTAGCAGAGTTCTTAGTTTCATAGATTTTACTCGGTTTGATCAAACTTAAATTTGATTTCAGAGTTTTCATGTACAACTCTAACATACCATGATTTTGCCTGAAAGGAAAATGACTTTTGCTTTGAAGAACAGTATTTCCAAATGTATTGTGTCTGTAGTTTTGTTCTATACCTTTCATCATTCTTTGATTTTCCCACTGACCTTGGAGATAATTTTCAACTTTGCTAGTGTCTAGGAAAGAAGAAAACAATAAATTCTTTCATAATCTTATTTGGAACAAAACCATTTCATTTTAAACTGTTTTGTTTTCTTTTCCTTGTCTTTTTTTTTAAATGGCACTTCACTGACAACCCTGTGATAACATGCTAAAAGAAACACCATGTATAAGTATTCCTAATTTCTTACACATTGGTAAAAACACAATGGTATACATGAACCAAAAGGAAAAAGCAGCTAGTATAATGTTAAGGTTACATAGTGGTCAATTTATGTAGATTTGGTTGCTTTTGGACCTTGCAAAACATGTAGAGACAGTAAAATACAAGCAAATCATTGTTTGTAGTAAACTACAGGGTTTGGAGGAACACCATTCCACAGAATTTGGAAAGACCTAGATCTCAGAGGTGGAAGAGAAAATCCAAATGATGAGGATTGAATTTTTTCAACCCCAAATTACTTATTGAATGGATCCTATGTATTGGCACTGTGCTGGTATTTGGAATATATAATATATGCCTTACTTTTACTGATCTTAAATCTAGTTAGGGGAAAAAAATTAAAAAGAAAAGGAAAAAAAAAAGAATGAAGTTGGAGATTGTTAAGCATGAATTAAAGGAGCAATGCGGATGGTGGAAATCAGGGTATACTGAATAAAGAAAAGACAAAGTTGAATGATAGTTTCCATGGGAAGAGTGGTTAATGAAAGTGAGGAATCCAGGGTTACTCTGCTAACTATATGACTTGAGCCACTGGGTAGGTAGAAGCATTTCAAATCAAATGAGGGCAATTACTAAAATCTGGAAAGTGTAGAAAAAAAGTATGCATTGTGGAACATAAACCATGAGATTATTATTAGATATGTCCTACAGATGTCAAGATCGGTTGGAGATAACAATGTGGAAATAATCAATATATACCTATATTCAAGAAAAGGATACTGAGTGATATGTTGAAAGGACCTGTAGTATGAAAAGTGATAAAGGTACAAACCAAGGTTTTAGATATTCCAGCACTTAGGGTTTGGGAATTCTTTAAGGTACACTTAGAGGCACAAAATTCTGACTGTAGGGTCAGAGAAAATGCATACTGGGGGGCACAGAATAAACATATTTGTTACCTAGCAACTAAGAATGGAAGGTCTTCAGAATTTGAATTAGGATGAGCTGAGGCAGACTCTTGTATCATAATCCTGCTCCTAAATTTGCCCTTCTGTAGACCACCAATCAAGCTAACTTTCCAGAAACATCAATCATATTGAGTAACAACTCATATAATTAATACTCCAGCCTTTAGTCTAGCTATGTCATGTTTTTTGTTTGTTTATTTTATTTTTTATCCTTAACTGAGGACATTTTTTTTTCATTGCTCTTTTAGAGAGGAGAAGAGAGAGAGAAACATCAATGTGAGGGAAAAGCACTGACAGGTTGCTTCCTGTATGTGCCCAGAGCAGGGATCATATGCACCCTGACTAGGGGTGAAACCCGTAACCTAGATATGTGCCCTGATCAGGAATCAAACATGCAACCTTTCAGTTATGGAATGATGTTCCAACTGAGCCACACTTGCCATGGCTAGCTATGTCATGTTATCATATATTCCACTCATAACAAAATAGGGCAACGGTTATTAACAGGAAACCTTGCAGCTGGCCAGTGTGCCACATAATCATCTTCAGAAGCTAATATACTGCATGGGATATGGAAACTGTCACCTTTTCCAATCATATTCTGCTTTCAATACAAAAATCATATCCCAAATTTTCCCATTTCAATGTCCCTGATGTACTTATTTCCTCACTGGCTACCTGCAGCATCTAAGGTAATTTTTACCTTTATATCTCCTTGGCAACAGCTAGGTTGTACTAAAGGACCAACTTCCTCCTTGAAGATCTAGGTTCTGTCAGCTTTATCTTCAGTTTTTATTAGAACATCTGCTTGTTCCTTATTATTATCATATTACTAACAGCCAGGAGAAAGTTAAGGCAACGCAGAGCTACAAAAACATAAAACCAACCAACTCTCCACCATGCTGCCTCAATTACATATGAAATACAATCAATCACCCTGGCAATAACAGCATATATCTCCATGAATACTCCTTTTTTGGCATGTTCCCACTCCACCCTTTCTCTTGCAGAAACCTTCTAAGAGTGGCTTTAATTTGCCCAACTTTAGGCCACTCTTTTGATAGTCAACCTTATGGCCTCATGTTTCCTCATGTGTGCCATGCCTTCATTCCTAATTCATAGCATCATCTTCCTAATTCAAAATGTAGACATACCTTGGACATATTATGCTGTCATTCCTATTTTGACTACCACCATAAGGTCTATTTCCTCTATTTTTCTAAATTAATCCCTTTATTATTCATTTTTACAGTTACCTTCAGTACAGATTTAACCTCAGGCAAAGAGAGGTCTAGCCCTTGCTTACTGGGAGGTAATCTCTAGACTTCTGAAATGTCCTGTCTGTGTGCGTGGTGGCTTTGGCCACCAGAGAGTCTGACAGTGTGATTTTTGATAGGGGCTTTGGGCTAAGCCAGATCAGTTATGACCTTTGGAGAAACTGGAGACTATAAGTATAAGCCCAACTTCTAGAGGGACTAAAGGTCAGCCATGTAGGCAATATGTATCTGAGCCCTAACACAAACCCTGGACAACAAAGGCTCAGGTGAGCTTCCTTCATTGGTAAAGCCTTGTGTTTATTGTCACACATTATGGCCAGGAAAAGGTAATCCTGCCCATGAGTCCAGAAGCCCCACATTTAGACACTTCCTGGATTCCATATGACCCAAGGACTCCATTCTTAGGGATATATCTAGAAAAAAATGAAAGCATAAAAGCCAAAAAGTTGAAACAACCCAAAAATCCATCAATAGGTGAATGGGTAAAAAAGTGTGGCAGATGCATACAGTGGACTTTTATTTGGCCATAAAAAAGAATAAAGTGCTGATACATACTAAAACATAAAAAACTTCAAAAACATGCCAAATGAAAGAAGCCAGACTCAAAAGACTACATCTTTTATGATTCCATTTATATAAAATACCAAGAACAAACAAATCTATAGAGGTAGAAATAGATTAATGGTTGCCTAGCCTTGGGCTTAGGAGAAAGCATTTTTAAAAATTTCCTTATTGATTTTAGAGAAAGGAAGGGGGAGAGAGAGAGAGAAAGAGAAACAGCAATGTGAGAGAGAAACATTGATCAGTTGCCTCCTGTATGCTCCCTGACTAGGGTTCAAGCCTGTTACCTAGGTATGTGCCCTGGCTAGGAATCAAAACCACAATCTCTTGGTGTTTGGGATGACATTTCAACCAGCTGAGCCATCTGGCCAGGGCAAAAGTGGTTTTTATAAAGTGATGAAAACCTTCCAAAATTGACTTTGATGTGGTTATATAACTGTTAATAAACTACAAAACACTGAATTGTATGTTTAATTTGGTAAACTGTAGGGTATATATCAATAAATTATCTCAATAAAGCTGTTTAAAAAAACAAAAAAAGAATATAATGGGAAAAGCAAATGGAAATGAATAAAATGCTGAAACTTGAAATGAACTAAAGAAAAATCAGAAATATCAAAGGTACAAAGTAAGCACACTGAAGCAGGCATAAGCTATGATCTGAGCTAGAACTGTTATAGGATTTAAAATGGTTTTTTCAAGTTAAGCAGTCAACAGAAACAGCAGGGACTTTAAGATGAGAGCACGATAGGTGGAGAACATTCTTGTAATGCCAGCATGGACAGGAAAGGAGATATCCCACGCTAAAAGAGGCATTAATACTGAAATAGGACAGTGGGAAGTTTTTTGTTTTTGTTTTTTGAAAGGAAAATTATTCCTGCTGTTCATGCGAAAACTTGGAAATCTCAGGCCAGTAAAATATTTAAAACTTGGAAGTATATGTTAGACAATTTTAAAGGAGATGTAAATTTGGAGTCTCCTTCAGAGGAAAAAAAAGAGCTTAATTTGTAAAACTGGAGGAAAATGTTAAGGATTAAGAATACAGTAGAAGGGGCTTCCAGTTAAGATGGCAATGTACATAAACATGATACTCAAAGCCACCTACAACCACATCAAAATTACAGCTAAACTACAGGACAACCATCATTCAAACTGCCTGAAATCTAGTTAAACATAAGACCTATAACTAAGGATACAAAGAACAACCACATCAAGACTGGCAGAAGGGGCGGAGACTCGGCATGGGCTGGTTCCATTCCCAGGTATTGTGGTTAAAAATTGGAAGGGATATCTCAGCTGCATAGGTCCCCGTTGAGGAGCCAGGGGTCCCAGACCTACCAGGCCTACTAGGCTCCCCAGCCCAGGGTTCCAGTCCTGGGAAAAGAAGGCCCCATCATTTCTAGGTGTGAAAACCAGGAGAGAATGTCAGTGAGTGAAACAAAGGGCTCCTGGAATCCCAGGCAGTTCCTCTTAGAGGACCCACATGGACCTACTCGGACTAACTCCCTCTGAGTCCCAGCACTTTGGCAGTAGCTCAAAAGGCACCAGGGACATACAGGGTTGAACTAAATTATCTGTCATCAGGGCAAGAGCTGAGGGCTCTTGAAGCACCTCCCTGGTCATGTAACTGGGGAAGCTTCACTCATGGACCCTACAGGACACTTACTACATAAGGCCACTCTACCAATACTGGGAGACATAGTAGATCTACCTAATACATAGAAGGAAACAGAGAGGCAGAGAAAATAAAGAGACAAAGAAATAGGTTTTAAATGGAAGAACAAAGCTCCAGAAAAAGAACTAAACAACATGGAGACAAGCAATCTACCAGATGCAGAGTTCAAAACACTAGTTATAAGGATGTCAGATAAAATAAGCAAGGTTTAGTTCCCAGAAGTGACAAAAAAGGTTTATGTCCCTTTAAAGACCTAAAGAAAAGTCCCCTAAAGGGGAGGGATATGGAGGCACTGTTTCTGTATCCTCAAACGCCCCCCCAGCCTACTCTGACTGGAATATAACTTCTGCAGTGACTCAGTAGGGGAAGCAGATTTTGCCATCCCAAAAGATACCTTATAGGATATTGATTATTTTAAGCTGGCTATTTTCAAGTAACGGAAGACTCAGGAAAAACCTTTGATGTTCCCCCTTACTGCCTTTAAGAATTTAGATAGAGGGCCTGCTCCAGGAAGGGATACATCATCACAGGTAAGTATGGTTTAATATGAGCTAGGAGTGATAAGGAGGAACCTAGCAAGGCCCTTTTGATCCAAGTCCTCTCTGTGGTCCAGCAAACATTTATTCACCAAATATTGGCTTTTCCATCTCCATGTGAATTGACTTCCTCTCCTTGGGAGTCCCAAATCACAATCCTTTCTGCCTCCTTATTCTTACTTCAATTGCCTGATTTGTCCTTGGGCTCCATATTTTTATGAAGCCCCTGTAGGTACATACATAATAAATTTGGTTATTTCCTCCTGTTAACCTGTTTCATATCAATTTGATTGTTAGCCCAGCCAGAATAACTTAAAAGGGTAAAAGGAAAATTATTTTCCTCCCCGACACCTGCCTTGTTGGTTCTCACCCACTCACCTAGACAGACTAGACTGTGGAGTTCATCTTCTATTGTCCATGGTTCTTCCCCTCGTTCCAACTTGGAGAGAATGTCTGGTTTGCCGAGTTGATACCCTGTTCATAGGAAATGACGGAAGACTTGAGTTGGGGTCTGTCAAGATAGGAGAATGTGATGTTTAAGGGACTAGACAGTTTGCACATGTCAGAGACTTTTCTCTTAGGAGAGGGCATTTTGTGACATCAGTTCCAAGCACAGAGCTCCTAAAGCCCTTGTAATTTCCTAAGTGAACAGCATGATAGGAGCATCTTTTTTGAGAGTCTAAGTTCCAGTTCCTGACACAGAACTGCTAACGTTCCTGGACCCTCGGGAGTGATGAGTGTCTGTGCTAAGGAGATGACTGGTGGCTGGGGGGCCCCTACATAGCTTCAGGGTGGGGGCTGATCCAGAAAGGCAAAGGCATCAACTGAGGGCTGGAACCTTCAGTTCCAACCCTTCCCCTCATTGTGGAGAGGGAGGCGACTGGAGATGGAGTTAATCATCAATGGTCAAGGACTTAAGCAATTATGCTTATAGAGTGGACCCTCTCTAAAACTCTGAACAACCCAGTGGGGAGAGCTTCCAGGTTGAGGACCACATTGAAGTACTGGAAGGGTGGCGTGCCCGGAGAGGGCATGGTGGGTCCACACCCCTTCCTCTACACTTTGCCCTAAGCATCTCTTCCATTTGGCTATTTCTGAATTTTTTACTTTATAGTAAACTGATCATGGTAGTAAGTGTCTTCCTGAGTTCTATGAGCCATTCTAGCAAATTATTAAACCTCAGTTGGAGTTGGGGGTTGTGGGAACAATGGATTTATAGCCAAGTTGGACAGATTCAAAGCCAACTTGTACAGAAGTGTGGGAACCCTGGACACCCAATACTTGCAACTAGCATCTGAAGTGAGGGTGGTCCTGTGGTACTGAGCCCTGAAACCTGTGGAGTCCGATACTAACTCTGCATGGTGTCAAAACTGAATCGAATTGAGCTGCAGGACACCCAGTTGGTACTTGGAGAGTTGGAGAATTGGTTGTTGGTGTAGAAAAACCCCACACATTTGGTGTCAGTTGTGTTGGTACAGTTCATAGTATATTAAATTCTTTTATCAGGAGAAACTAAAAATCTGCCATTCAGAACACTGCAGCGACTCCCAAGTGTAAGTACCTGGGAAAGGAGGGACCACTGACTGGAACCACTGACTATGAGTGACACAGGGAGCTGGCCTCACCCACTGACACCAGGTTGCTGTAGGTCTCCAACATCACGTCCCTGTACAGGTCCTTCTGATGGGGGACCAGGAGCTGCCACTCCTCCCAGGTGAAGTCCACGGCCACATCTTCCAGCGTCAGCGATTCCTGTAATAACACGGTCCTGTTTAATGGGAATGCTTTTATTTCAATGGTTCATAAATAATATAAAGGAAGTTGTCCAGCTTATATTAAATACGATTCCTTCCTTCCTTCCTCTCTCTCTCTCTCTTTCTCTCTCTCTCTCTCTCTCAGGCATTTAGAAACTCTTTCAGGAACCGAGGTCAAAGAGAGGAGAGGGGAGGGAGAAAGAAAGGGAGAGAAACAGAGATCGGTTACCTCTCACATGCATCTCAGCCAGGGACCAAACACAAAACCTAGGCAAGTGCCCTGACTGGGAATCTAACCAAAAACCTTTTGCTTTGCAGGACAATGCCCAACCCCCTGAGCTGCACTGGTCAGGGCTTAACTATGATTCTGACACCAGTTCCAATGTGTTGTTTTTTTTTTTAACCCACCACTAAGAAGTACTCCAACACCAGCTGAGTGTCCTACAATTCATCTCGGTTCTGATACTATCTACCTGGAGACAGTGTCAGGTCCCACAGGTTAAGGGCTCAATCCTACAAAACTGGCCCTCTAACCCCTACTTCGATTCAAGTACAGGCTGTCACCTGTGCTTCTGACTGACCAGCTATAATTGAAGGTTCCGATGCCCTCCTTAGGTTTGCTTAATTTGCGAGAGCAACTTGGGGAACTCAGAAAAACAGATTACTTACTGTATATCAGTTTATTATAAAAGGATACAGACGAACATGCAGATGGAAGAGATGTATAGGGCAAGGTGTTCGCCAACCCAGAAGCTGTCCAAACCCCATACCTTTGGGTTTTGTGTGGAGACTCCATTATGTAGGCATGATTGATCATTAACTCTATTCCCAGTCCTTATCCCCTGTCTGGATAATGGGATATAGAGCTGAAAATTCCAAGTTTCAGATCATGGCTTGATCGTTCTGCTGACCAGCTTTCATCTGGGAATCCACCAAAAGTCACCTCATTAGAACAGTAGACACTGCTCTCACCCAGGAAATTTGAAGGCACTTAGAAACCCCTTCAAGAACTGAGGTCAAAGACCAAATATGAAAGCAAAAGATGTTCCTAGTATCTTATCACTTAGCAAATTACAAGGATTTTGGAGCCCTGTGTCAGAAACTAGGGGCAGGACCAATGTATTATACATATTTATTATTACTTCACAAAAGGTTAACATATTAGATACACTGAAGAGATAATTAGTAAACTGGAATATACATTTTAAAAAATAACCAAAGCTCTGGCCAGGTACCTTAGCTGGTTAGAGTTCTGACCATACACCGAGGCTGTGGGTTCGACCCCTGGTCAAGGCACATACAAGAATCTACCAGTGAATTCACAAGTAAGTACAACAACAAATTTCTCTCTCTCAAATCAATAAATCAATAAAAAAATATAGAAATAAAAATAAAAAATAACTCCTAAATGAAGTAGCTCCACAAGGAGGTTGAAAATATAAAGGAGAGTTTAATAAATATGAAGGACAGAGAAAGGTCTAACAAAGGCCTGTATGTAGTTTTTGGAAGAGATAGAGAAACAGAGAAGCATATGAAGACCTCAGGAAGGAAAAATTTTCAGAACTGATTAAACTTCCTATAACTCAGACTTAGTAAGCCAGCAAAGCCAGGCAGGAAATCTGCATGTAGACACTTCTGGCTGAAACTCCATACAACAGACCAGTGGCAAAAATCAGATTATGAAAACAAGCAGAAAGAAAAGATGCATCACCATCAAAAGAAAGACAAAATTTACTGAAACAAAGACAACAGAAGCCAGAAAAAAAATAATAAACATATTTGGTCTTTGCCCCTGGTTCCTGGCCCAGTTTCTAAAACTCTTGGACTCTCTGTAGTGAGGACTGCCTTCTGCATGCTAATGAGATGACTGGCAGGGACCTTGATGACTTCAGGGTGGGGGTCGGTCTGCAGAAAGACTACCAACCTCCAGGTACAAAGGAGGGACTGGAGGTTGAGTTCAATCACCAATGGCCAATGATGTAATCAATCATGCCCACACAATTAAACCCCCTAAACAACAGGTACGGAGCGCTTCTGGGTTGGTGAACACACTGAGGTGCTGCCAGGTTGGTGCTCCAAGAGGACCTTTGCACCTTTCCCTCACGCCTTGTCCTGTGCATATCTTCCATGTGGTTAATCCTGAGTTACAGCCTTTATGATAAACTAGATGTATGTAAATTGCTTTCCTGAGTTCTGTGAGTCATTCCAACAAACTGCCAAACCTGAGAAGGGAGTTGTGGGAATCTCCAAATTTAGAGCTGGTCATCAGAAGTAGAGATGACAGCCTGGGACTTTCGACTGTCCTCTAAAATGGGGGCAGTTTTGTGGGACTGAGCTCCTAACCTGTGGGATCTGAGGCTGCCTCCCAGGTAGTTAGTGTTGGAATTGAGTTGAATTGTAGGACACCCAGCCGGTGTTGCAAGAGTTGCAGAATGGGTAGGTGTGAGAAAAATACCCACATGTTTGGTGTCAGAAGTGCTATGAATAAAAACAGCTCAGAAGTGTGGAATATTTTCAATGTCCTCATCCTGTGGTCCTGCCTTCTAGGCCCAATGCCACCAAAAAGTGAATTGAGATCTGCTTGTCAACTGAATGGCCAGCTAGGAAAAAAACGATGGGATAATCTCTCTTGATGTTATTGCAGACATTACTGCACAGAAAAAAGAACAGAATTGGTAGGGGCTGCAAATTCTTAACACTGCTGATCTGATCACATTCTGAGTTATTTCATGTGAAATGCAGATCCATTTGGAAAAACAAAAACTTAGGTTTAAATACCTTTTTCCTGTTTAAAATCCTAACCATAAAACAAAAGAATCTATGGAAGCAATAGAGAGAGAAGAATATGAATGAAGTACGTTCACGTCACAAGCCAAAAAAAATCACAGGAAACAAGCAACACATTTTGTGAAAGGAAAAATTAAAACATCTGAGTTGAAAAGATATCATGGGCAAAGGTAAAAGAAAACTGACAAGCTAGGGAAATTTTTTTTTTTAAGATTTTTATTTATTTATTTTTAGAGGGGAAGGGAGGGAGAAAGAAAGGGAGTGAAACATCAATGTGTGGTTGCCTCTCACGTGCCCTCTACTGGGGACCTGGCCCACAACCCAGGCCTGTGCACTGACTGGGAATCGAACCAGCAACCCTTTGGTTCACAGGCCAACTCAATCCACTGAGCCACACTGGCCAGGGCGGGAAATATTTTTAATAAGCAAAAGGATCAATATATAGTGGATATAAACAACTTCTATTAATCAGTAAAAAAATTAGTTGTTTAAAATGTAAAAATGATAAGGACAGGCATTTCATAAGAGAAAAAAATACAACTGACCAAAAAATATACAAGGATTTCAACCTCACCCATGCTGAGGAAAGTGTAAAATAAGGCTAAAGAATATTGGGTCATGCCCTGGCTGGTGTGGCTCAGTGGGATGAGCACCGACCCATGAATCAAAAGGTCACCTGTTTGATTCCCAGTCAGGGCACATGCCTGGATTGCAGGCCAGGTTCCCCGTTTGGGGTGTGTGAGAGGCAACCAATCAATGTTTCTCTTCAATACTGATGTTACTCTCCCTCTCCTTTTCCCTTCCTTCCCTTCTCTTTAAAAACAATAAAACCTTTAAAAGGAAAAAAAAGAATATTGGGTCATTCAGATGGCTGAAAGTTATGCAATTTTATAGTGTCCTGTTATTAGTTACTGGTGGAGATTGAAGGCATAGATAGATGATCCCACATATCACTTACTATGTAGCCAACACTCATCTAGATGCTTTACATAGTGTAACTCATTTTTTTTTAGTATCACTGTGGACAACTGGAATTTTATATAGTTAATATTCACCAATCAATTGCAGGCCTTCCTTTAGATGCTTAAATTATACCACCATAGGCAAACAGGTTATATTATTTGAAGTATGGGTCCATTGATACACAAATGTTATAATACATGTGTTTATGTACTCAGATATGTACATAAATCCACATACGTTTGTGAATAGATGCATATATACAGATGCACACGCAGGTTTACTGACAGGAAGGCACACTAGCAAACATTTGTTAAAGCAGTTTGAGGGGACAAGGAAGAACGCTATGAAAAGGGAATTCACTTTTCTTTGCCCAGGGGTACTCATTCCATCATTAATATTTTTTTCTTTAAAATGTATCTGTGAGTAATCTGTATAACTATAGAAAATAAAAACAAAGAAAGAAGAGGAGGTCAGAATTGGATTTGAAAATGGGGGAGGATTCTGCATTTTCTAAGATGGCATGAAGTTATAAAGCAAACACCCTAGGACCCAATACCGCAAGCTCTTACAAGACAAAATTTCTTACAGCTATCCAAGGCCAAACTGGAACTCTAATGCCACTTCAGCTACCTGTTGATGGAGGACCATTTGAAAGCCATACAATCCTCCCATTTTCCTAGGCCTTTTGGGTTTTATTATTGAATAAACCCAAACAGACACAATGCTGAGTGAGTCCTTTGAGTGACTTGCATTGCTCTCCTGATAAAACTGTCTTCACTGAGTCTGACTGGTTTCTTCCCACATGGGTCTCTGAGGAACCCTGGAATAAACAGCAGTATGAAATCTGCTTCTGCCTTTACTAGACGTTCAAAACACTGTCCACTCCGTCACCTCTAGGAAGAACATAACATTTTTCCTGAGACCTGCGTGTCATGAAACATTGACACCCCCTGAGCAACCATCAGCCGTCTCCTCACAGTATATGATACATATCATATAACAACATAATTCTCTTGTTGTGTTGGCTGCCATAGACATTAGATACAAGCTGACAGCTAATGTATCCTAGGGGATCCTTCAGTTACACGCTACTTTCTAACATTAATTATTTAATCAGAATCATGAGTACTATATTCTTTGCCATGGTGCTGGAGTTAGGTTCAAAGTTCATTTTACTCTAAATACTGAACTAATTTTTACAGGCCTCTACAAATCCATTATGAAATAAGGGAGAAAATAAACCTAAAGTCACCTGAGCCTGGATCATTTTCTTCTGTTTTAGGAAACGGCCAGCAACTGGTATACTCTTCTCTTTGTCTTCTTTGATATACCCCAAATTTCTAGTTAGAAATCTCACACTCCAGTTGAAAGTGTTCCCAGAAAGGGCAAAACTAGGTCCTGGAACCTCCTCTTTCTTCATTCCTTTCTCATCTCTTGCCAGACCTGTAAGATGACGAGCAAAATTACTTTCAGGGTTACATTCTCCTTGCTGTCTGCTCACTTCAACACGTGGTACCGAGTATTTCCATCTCTTTATTTGGTTCCCTAGAGATTATATCTTAGGTAATAAAACATAAGACCCTGAAGGTATAAAAGTACCTTGAATGTGAAAGGGAAAGTGGCAAGTAATTTTCAGAACAATTATAGAAATGAAGTCACATGGACAGTGAGGAACTGTAAACCTCTCCTTTAAACTATGTCGCCCTCACACCTTATTAAAAGTCTTTATATACCCTATTTATATACACACTTCACTATGAGCAACAATGAACACAGGGAAAAAAGGAGAGAGAGAAGGAATATGAGCTATAAATACAAATTTTAAAAAGTTAAAAAATAATTAAGTACTGGGGAAATAGCAGGCTTTATATGCTCATACATAGAACCTGAAAGGAAATACACAGTAAACCTGCAGAAGGAAAATGAAAACAGAATCTTAAATAAAAAGCTTATTACTGTATTCTGCCGTACATAATGCACACCCGCGGTTTCAGTGCTGCCCATGAATAATGCGCACCCTCATTTTCCCTCAAAAATTTGGGCAAAAGTGTGCATTATACACGGCAAAGTAGGGTAATTTTAAATATGCTGAATGGTTCATTCAACACCAAAACTTTTATTTCTGAGGGTCGAAAGGGACAGGATGATGTGGGAGAACCAAAGGAACGAACATATGTGGTGGAGGAGGGACTTTGTTCAGCAGCCAGAGCTGAAGACAGAAGCATGAGGGCCCCTGATCCTCCAGGCTTTCTGCGGTTCCACATCTTGGAACAAAAAACAGTGGCCACCACCCCCGCCAGATTAATACCCAAAACCAGACCAGATACACGCCCACACTGACCTCCCTTAATGGTTCCTCGATCACTGGATCCAAGTTACTCAGCTACTGCCCGGACGCCGCGGTCACAGACAAACACCAGCCCATCCACAGGTAGGGTGACCCCCAAAGACCCTGAACTCAGATTTCCAGACTCTCGGGAGTTGAACTGTTCACAGCTTTAATCACGGACCACCAGAGCCCCGCTGTGATTGAACCCAAAGACACCCCGATCGCAGACACCCGGTAGACTCCTTCGTGCTCCCCGCCCCTGCGCTGCCTTCACCGACTCACCTGAGCAGCCACCTAACCAGCGGCGGACAGACGCGCCCACGCACGGACCTGAGTCTCTCCTGAACCTGTAAGCGAGCGACCCCTGCAGGGCCTAACTTGCCTACCTTCTCTCCCCTCTGGCCTCCTCTCCCGGGAACGACAGATGAACGCTCCAGGCGCTTCTGCCGCGTTTCTATGGAGAACGGAATACACGTTTCTGGCTTTTCTTTATGAGGTACAATACCCGCGTCGCCGTCGCCTTGACACCCTGCGGGCCGCCATCTTCGCACGCGTGACGTACACAGGCTTTTGCTTAGGTGGCCGAACAAGGGGAGGGCGAGAGACTGCTGCCGAAACGGTTCCTTTTTGGCACGTCAGCCCTGATAGGAATAGGAATGTGCAGAGGTTTGCAGAGGCTTGAGGTCACAGAAGGCAAACATGATATGGGAGCAACTTCATTTTTTTGTAGGGTAATGTGAACGATGCCTGTTTTTCAAGGGCCGGAGCCCACCAGGACGAAAAGGGCGCGTCGTACATTCTGAGCGGCCGTTACGGCCGTGATGTCTCAGCCCGGTGGAACATTAAAATTTCTGGACACCTCAGTCACTAGTCTAATCAAGAACAGTTTTGGAAGCCGTGTAAACACTTAAGCACGCTTGACCAAAAAAAGCTGGCAGGGCGTCATGAAAATACACGGTTTGCACCGTGGGCAAGAGCGCGGTGGGCGCAGCCATCTTGGGGGAAGTCCCGAGTCCGTACAGAACGGTCTCTGGGGAGCTCGGCCCCGGAGGCGGCAGGTGGCAGTTCATTTGGAAGAACAAGGGTTGGAAGTGGGGTGGTACTGGGGATGCAGTGATCACAAAGTGAGCGCAAAAGATAGACGTTATGAGCTTCTTTACAGACTCAACCAGCTCAAACATAAAACATGCTAGGCAGACACTGAACTGCCTTGTCACTAGATTGGCCTGCATTTTATGAAGAGACTCTTACTGTATGCACGGTTTTTATCTTGCTTCTTTCACACAACAGAATAGTTGTGAAGCATCAATAAGTTCTCTCCTTTTGTTGCTCATTATTCCACTGTAAAGGCATTCCAAAATGTGTTTAATCGTTCATCAGCTGGTGGACCTTTTGGTTGTTTCCAGTTTTCTTTGAATATTGCAAATGGAACTTCTATGAACATTCAAAAAATAAAACGATCTCAAAGAACTGGATTTCCCATAGTCGTGTGCATCTGTATCAGCTCACCAAGAGGTCTTTGCCAGCCATTTGCAGGCCTACTGCGCATCTCCAGCCCTGCTCCTGCTCCCATTCACAGTGGCTCAAACCCTGAGCTAGGACACTCTCTCCCAGGGAGGAACCAGATATCTTGAGAACGGGAACTGTGGCACAGACGTCAGGTTCACTGTGTGCTCACATTATGATCAACACCATAAGCCCTTATAATTCTCAGAATGTACCTGATAAAATCATGTTGCTACAGGTCAAAGCTGGAAATCAGTTTCATCTTCCAACTTCTCCATCAGTACTATGCTAAGTCTCTGAAGTGAGATGCTAGAATTGTCCCTGCTTACACCCTTGGCTTGTACTACCTCACCTTTACAAGGTGATCCTTGTAAAACACAAATCAGTCATGAAATTTTGCTCTTCTCAATCATGTAATGATTGCACTACAGAATCAAGTAAGTATTGAGCCCTGGCTGGAGGTTCAGTTGGAGTGTCACCCTGTACACAGAAGGTTGGGGGTTCAATTCCCAGTCAGGGCACGTACCTAGGTAGAGGGTTCAATCCCTGGTTTGAGCGCTTATGGGAGGCAATGAACCTATGCTTCTTACACCCGTGTCTTTCTCCTCTCCCCTCCCCGACCTCTCCCTAAAAGTAGTAAAAACATATCCACGTTTGAGGATTAAAAAAAATGTAAGTATTGAGATGGCTAAATTTAGCTGATTAAAAAAATATATTGGCCCTGGCTGGTGTGGCTCAGTGGATTGAGTGACTGCCTGAAAACCAAAGTCGCTGGTTGGATCCCAGTCAGGCACATGCCTGGGTTGAATGCCACATCCCCAGTAGGGGGCGCTCCAGAGACAACCACACATTGATATTTCTCTCCCTTTCTCCCTCCCTTTCCCTCTCTCTAAAAATAAATAAAATCTTAAAAATCTTAAAAATATTCAATAATCCAGGGCTTGTGACAAAAATATAAGGCATTGACTGCATAGCAAATTTCCTATTTCTTGTTCTCTAAGCAGGACTCAGTGTTTTTATTTTGTTTTTTCCTTAAGCAGGGTATCTTTATTGGATCAAGGGAATGACTGGGTAGAGGAAATATGACAAGTGCCCCACTCATAACAGTAAGAAGGAATGAAAAAAAAAGATAGGAAAAACACATTCAATGAAGCATGTCACAGAGAAGATGGGATCTTTGAAATGATGGCAACTCTTAACAATGATAAGCCTATAAACAAATACAAATAAGGATTCTTCTCCAATATATCTCAAGGGGATTTTCCCTCTTCCATTTACTATACTTCCACCTTGGACCAAAGTGCTTATGCTTTTTATTTTACTTATCCTGAGAATCCTATTCCTTTTCTGTTCTTCTACATTCAGGCAGACACTGAGTCTCTCAACACACACACAGACACACACACAGACACACACACACACTGTATGAATGGGAAGAAAACACTGAATCTTCATATACCTGTCCCTTAGTTCATATCTATTTTCATGAAGTGGCAACTGCAGATAATGTTTATGGCTGTATCGTTTTTGAAAATATTCTTGTTCTGCTTCTGGGGAATCAGCCTCTCTTGGGTCTTTCAACCTCATCACCTCTGTATAAACTCCCTACCTCACCACTGCTTGCTCTTTCTTTTTTTCTTTTAGGTTGGTATTATAACATTTATTTTTTTTTCTTAAAAACGACACCATGGGTTAAGAGAAACAGCAAAGAACCAAAGAATTAAAATGCAAGCTATATAAAATCTCAACTAAAACCCAGAAGTATTTAATATATTCATACATTAGCTAACTAAAAAGCCCAAGAAAGAAAAAGCACTCAATATAATAAAGTACTGCAAAACAATTGGTAATTTTCAGTTACCAAAATTGTGGGTTTTCCATTTTGTACCTTTTTCTCAATCGAGAAAAAAGTTCTTTTTGAATGTTATATACATTGTAAACTTGTAACAATGTCTGTAAATACATTATCTTACATGTTTCTTATAGGCAATAGGTTGGCTATGTACATGCATAGCATGAAACTACTGTTATAAAGAATAGACAACTATACATGGCAGCTGTACCATTGCTCTTTCCTAACCTACTTTATTAAATATTCATCTTTCTAAACTGTTAGAAGACCCTAAACTTAAAAAAATAAAAGAGGAAGGTGGAAGTAATTTTCTTGCAGGGAAGATGATTTTAGTTCTTTGAACTTTATTAAAGTATGAATTCATTCAGGAGTTTCTATGGAGAAAATAAAATATATGGCACAAGTGTGCAAATCAAAAAATATTAAGGGAGATGTGATTTCAGGAATATCTAGAGAGAATATGAGCTTAACTTATTATATAGAATGGAAGAAAGATTTAAGGATTATGAGAACAGAGTAAGAAATGGAAAACAGAACCTTTAGACGATATTAGAAAGGGGCAAAGATAAGTGTCTTAGTCTGTCTACTATAACCCAAGACAACAGAAATTTATTTCTCCCATTTCTGGAGGCTGGGAAGATCAAGGCACCAGCAGATTCAGTTCTGGCAATGGCCTTCATGACCTAATCACCTCTAAAAGGCCCAATCTTCTAAAATCATCACTTTGGGGGTTAGGATTTCCACATATGAATTTTAAGGGGACACAAACATTTAGTCTATAGCAAGACACTAAGAAACCATATAAACACAGAGATCGGACTAGAGTGTGGGCATAGCATCCAACGTGGGGTTGAATGTTAGGAAGGAAAATCACCATTTCCTAATGAAGCAAGGAGATGCTTTAGTTAAAGACTATGCTGAATTCTAAGATCTCTGGAACAAGGCCTGGAGGGTGGAATTTCAAGCAATATAGGTGGAAGAAATAGAAAGAAGCACTGTGACAATGGACAAAAAAGGAGATGATTTGACAAACTTAAAAAGATGAGAACTTGGTAAATAACAAAAAAATTCAAAGATGTACATAAAATAAACAGGGATCAGCTGGGATCAGATCTCAGACGAGGAAAAGGGTGTATTTCCCTCTACACTTCTACGAAGAGGAGGTCTCAGATGGGAAGAAGGATATGAGGAGCTCCTGTTTAGGTTTCCTCAGACACTCTCACACTGGGCCACCTTCTCTGACCAGAATATGTCTTCCCTGAAGACCTACTTTGCTGGTTCTCACCTGGAGAGGTTCAACTATGGGTTTTATCCTCTATCGTCCAGAGTTCTTCCCCGCATTCGCTTGAAGAAGGATGTTGGTTTGCTGGCCTGATACCCTGTTCATGGTAAATGACAGAAGACTTTGACATATGAAATTGAGCTAGGATGTTAAGATGAGAGAATGCTACATTTTAAAGATTCTACAGTTTTCATATCTGCAAAGCAGAGGCTTTTCTCTCCGGAGAGGGTGCATTATACATTCTTGTCTGGAGTAAAGAGGGATCTGAGAATCTACCACTTGAGAGTACTACGGGGACTCTGAAGCATTAAGGAGCTAAGAGGAAGGACCACTGACTTGGGTAGCTTCTGAGTGATGCCGAGAAGCTGTCCTCACCCACTGACACTGGGTTGCTGTTGTTCTGCAACATCATGTACCTGTATAGTTCCTTCTGGTTGGGGTCCAGGAGCAGCCACTCCTCCCAGCTGAAGTCCATGGCTACCTCCTCCAATGTCAATGATTCCTGTAATAACATGGTCCTCTGTAAGAGGAAGTGTTTCCCTTTTATTGATATACAGAAGGAATGTAAAGGAAGTTATTCTGTTATTTTCACCATGCAGGCTGCATCAGTAGAAGCAGTTAAAAAACAAATAAACACCTTGCAGTAGGAAAGTACTGTTGGAATATTCTGCTATTATAATCTAGTCTTTGGCAAATTAGACATTTCTATAATGCATAGCCATTAAATCCTCTATCCAAGAATCATATATATGTATATGTGTGCCTATTGGCCAAACACTATATACATGGTGATATCAAGAGTAATAAAACATAGTATTA